CCAAAAGTGATCTTATATCAAGTAAAAAGTCTTGTTCCGATCACTTTTGGTATACGGAAAAACCTTTGTTGCTATTTCCGACCATTTTTTGCTTTCGAATTGATTTAAGATCACTTTCAGGTAGTCAGAAATTTTATAATTTCCAGTAGTGTAAAATGAAGTCATGTTACTTGTTTCATTTTGTTGGAGACACTTTCTTTTGTATAGTAGTTCATACGGTTCATCCCAAATAATGTAAACTCTATTAATTTAAACACTGCTAACTTGTTATATTTCTCAATTTACCATTTTCGCTTTTAGGATAAACTTTCGCTTTTAGGATAAACTTTTAAAGTTTGTTTAATATTTTTTTTAATTGTCATTTTTTGAAGAGGAAAAAGGAAAACATATTTTACTTGTACATTAGAAAACATAAAACAAAGAATGAAAAATTAGGAAAATAAAAACAAAGAATGAAAAATGCTTCAACGAGATAACTTTTGATTTATTAATTGTTAAATTAAGGGAATTAAATTTGACACTTAACCAATAAAAATGACGTGAAACAGAGTTTGTCTCATTAGAAATATGTGTATTATTTGTTTCGGGAATTGATAGCTTTAAAACGTTGTAGCGGCAGTCTAAAAGAATTAGGTTGTTTGAATTCTTTAAAGCAAAATAATTGGCACTCTTTTTTAGTTGGATAATTAACATTTTGTTTTTGCTCCATTTAACGATATGATTTTTGCATGTTTGTACGATCGTTTAAGTAAACAATGGCCTTCCATCTTTTAGGAAAAATCACTATTTTGGTTTCCAATTGTTTTACAATTGTCAATTTAATTATTAATTTTTAATTTAGTCGAATGGACCCTTCAATTATTTTGAATTTTTTTAGTTAAGTCACTTGATCACTATTCCATCAGTCAATCGTTAGTTACCAAAACAGTGAATATATGATTTAATTGACGTAATTTAAAACAATTGAATGACCAATTTGACTAAATTGAAAATTAGAGACTAAATTGACAATTGCAAAACAATTGAGAGACCAAAATAGTAATTTTTTTCCCTTCTTTTTTATATTGATTTGCATGGATGAGATTTCTACGGTTTCACAGTGATCCAGATCTTTTTTTTTTTTTTTTTTTTTTTTTTTTTTTTTTTTTTGTGGATAGGGAAGAAGAAGATCGAGGAAAGAAAAGAATATTCCACGATTAGTCATCTGGTCGATCAAGATTAGACAAGAAATCAACACATTTGTTGTCCTCTTTTAAGATATGGAGAAATCTAACCTACTAAAGAACCTCCAAATGAGCCATTAATTAACACTATTCAAGATCTCCTTAATAAATACTCCGTAATAATTTTACTTAATTAATTAATTATATTATAAGTAAATAAGATAAATCGTAGGATGTGTTTCAACCTACCAATAAACTCCCAAATGCATGTATACTAGTGCTTGTACACAGCCAAATTCACAAACTTTGAAACCGGCCCTGCGATTATTATGTATTAATAAAGTAATGATTATGAACTTATTTTAGGTTAGTTAACTAATTAAGTGGTTTTTTGTGCACGCTTTTATCTTCCTTCCCGTTTTTATATGCGTGACGGTCTCATGAATGATCTAAAGTTCCACTTTCTTATTGATCTTGTTGGTTTGCAATAGCCTAGATACTTATAAAGTTATTTTTTTTCCCTCAAATGATGGATATATTAGAGATGGATTCGGAGCAACCAACCCGAGAAGAAACGAGAACAACCCGGAAGCCAACATCGTCCTTGGGCCGCCCAAGGCCAGCCTCGGCCTGAGGCGGTCGACTTCGGTTATGGACATGATCAAAGAAGATCCAACTGTCCGCCCTATTCTCTTGGGGGCAGTTAGGGGGTAACTTTAGTATAAATTAAATTGTTATTGTCACATTAAGACATCATTCATTCACTTGTAATCCTCTTACAATGCTTATTAATAGTTTAATCTTGTCTCTGCGACATATATTTCTTGTCTTTTTCATTTTATTATCCATTTATTTATTCTTTTAATTATTGGGTTAAGTAATTCGAATTATCCAGGTTAATTTAATCCAAAATACAAAAAAACTCCTTAAGGATAAACAAGTATTATTATTATTATTATTATTATTATTATTATTATTATTATTATTATTATTATTATTATTATTATTATTATTTAAATTTTTGTGTGAATCAACACTATGTTGTATGGAATTCTTAAAGAATAGCATTTCAAACACGTTTTTACTTGTGAAACCTCTCTCCAAATAGAGGCCAGGTAGTTTTCAAAATTTTTAAAATATAAAAACACATTTTTCAAAGAAACTAATAAACAATTAATATTTCAATGCACCAAGGACCTTGTAGTCTAATGTTACCAAGTTGAACTCCTACATAGGAGATCGTAAGTTTGAGTCTTAGTGGAGTCATTACTAACTCTCAATAAGTTGAGAAAGTAGTTATGAACATATATTACACTCTAATAGAGTTAATACTATTTAAAAAAAATTAATATTTCAACTTACTTAAGAAATTTTTTAAACATATAAATATCTCTCTCTATGTTTAGTCTTAACTCTTCCTTCTCATTTTTTTTTTTGTTTTTGTTTTTTTGTTTTTTTATTGATAACCTGTGTTTTCTGATTTCACTTAACTATATTCTCAACCCATGAAATCGCTCCAAGTCTATAAAGAGGTAAGCATCAAAATTTTATGTGGACCATGGTTCACATAGCGCTGTGTAGACCATAAAAACATTTTTTATTATTATTATTTTTTTGGAAAAAAAAACACATTTTTAATATAGTAAAAATATATTATTTGTGTACTGAATAGACATTATACAAAATAAGAGTTAATACCTCCAATGATCCTCCGAGTATTAGGGGTTTACCAAATGTGGTCCTCCGAGTTTTAAATGACCTCCAATGGTCCTCCATGTTTTAAAAAATAACCACCTGTAGTCCTTTTAGGACGTCTCGTGGTCATTTTAAACTCGGTTTTTTTTTTTTTTTTTTTTTTTTTTTTTTTTTTTTTTTTTTTTTTTTTTTTTTTTAAGAATTAGGACCACATGTGGTTATTTTTTAAAACATGGAGGACCATTGGAGGTCATTTAAAACTCGGAGGACCGCAACTGGTAAATCCCTAATACTCAGAGGACCATTAGAGGTATTAACTCATAAAAATAATGTATTTCAATACTCAAATAATGTACTTTCTCTGAATACAAGATACATTTTTAATATACTAAAAATATATTATTGTGTACTGAATGTACATTATTTGATAGTATACAAAATAATGTACTTTTAGTACTCAAATAATATATTTTCAAATAATATACTTTTTTATTTGTGGTCCACATAGCTGTGTGGACCATGGTCCATGCAATAACAACTCGAGGTAATTCCAATCATTATACAATAGATTACAGTCCACCTTGTAAGATGAACTACTAACATGATGCACATTCTTAATAAGAAAAATGATCATTTTAGCCCCTCAATTGTGGATAATGGTACATTCAATCCCTTAATTGTACATATGACCCCGTTTAGTCTCCAAATTCTTTGTTTAGTGAACATTTTAGTTCCCCACATTAAATTTAGGGGGCACTTTTCCCCCCTTTGTTTATACTTATAGTACTTTTTCCCCCTAAATTATTTAAGTGGCAGTTTTTCCCCCTGATATATTAAATGGACATATTTACCCTTAAAATAAATATTTCATTTATTTTTCTTCTCCAACAAATTATAACCACGATTTGAAAAAATAAAATACATTAAGTGTTAAATTTAGAATATTTTTAAAATAAAAAAATAAAATTTAAAAAAAAAAAGATTGAACCAACCGTTCAAATTGGATCCAAAATCGTGAACCGACAGTTCAAAATAAAACTCAAATCGCGATTATATATACTTATATGTGAGAGTCAATATAAATGCGGAAAAAAAAACATACACTATTTGCAAATATTATAATTCTAATTTAAGCTATTGCTAGTAGTTGTTCCGATTTGAACCTCCGGTTCACGGTTCAGGATCCATTTTTTCCAGTTCACGATTTTAATAAACGGAAACCCAAATATTGGGTTATGTTATGAATCATAACCGAATTTTTTTAATTTGATTGCTATAGTGTTTGGTTCAGTTCGAACCAAACCGTGATCATCCCTACGTATAAGCAATAATTTGGTGAAGAAGAGAAATAAATAAAATATTTGTTTTAAGGGTAGAAATGTCCATTTAATATTATCAGGGGGAAAAACCGCCACTTCTATAATAATTGAGGGGGCAAATGTGAATGCATGAATAACTCAGGGGGAAAAAGTGTTATAAGCATATAACACATGGGAAAAAAATGTCATTTTCCCTTAAATTTATGTTAAAATTAACGGTGATGGAAGGATAAATATAAAAATTCATTAGATTCCCCGCCCCAAAACACAATTCATGGACTAAATAGATCAGAGTCATGGCTATAATTAAGGGGCCGATTTTATAATAATAATAATAATAATAATAATAATAATTATTATTATTATTATTATTATTATTATTATTGAGGAATTAAAATAGTTATTTTGTCTTTTTAATATATTAAAGTTTCATTTTTAATATAATAAATGTCCATTTTTTTAAAGTTCATTATTTGTGTAGTGAAAATTTATTATATAGTATATTCACTGAGGTAATAAAAATTCATTAAAAATGAACATTTATTCATAGTCCAGGCCCCAGGGTATAATTTACTAAGGTAATCCTTCTCAAAATTTGACCAAAGCCTCATCAACATTGTAAATTTATAACATGTAAATTTCATAATTTATTTAAAAGAATAATGAAACAAAACAAAAACATGCATGTATAAATTCAACCGATCAAAAACTTCTAAGAATGCAATTAAAACGAGTCAACATCATTTTTGATCGAATAACTATAATAACACTTTCAATTTTTTAATAGTCCAATGTCTCTTTCAGTCGCAATACCCACATAGAGATGCGTGAGCTCGTGTCCGGGGCCTTAGCTGTTGCTCAAGCGGAGGATTTTGGGAAGTACCTGGGATTACCTTCTGTGGTTGGCAAGAATAGGAGGGCGGTTTTTGCTTATGTTGAGCAAAAGCTGAGGCAGAGGTTTGGCTCCTGGAATAAGAGGTTATTGTCTAAAGCTGGTAAGGAGGTCCTTCTGAAGAGTGTGGCACAAGCCATGCCAACATATACTATGAGTATTTATCTGCTCCCATCCTCTTTATGTGTTTCTCTGGAAAGACTGATGAACAGGTATTGGTGGGGGCGGGCTGGAGATGAAGGAGGCATTCACTGGTTAGCTTGGGATAGGATGTGTAAACCAAAGAAGTTTGGAGGAATGAGATTTAAGCGTTTACGTGAGTTTAATCTGGCTCTACTGGGTAAGCAAGGTTGGCGGCTACTAACCAATCCCTGTTCTTTGATGGCACGTGTTTTTAAGGCAAGGTATTTCCCGACAACTTCCTTTTATGAGGCTGTTATAGGGGGGTAACCCAAGTTATGTGTGGAGGAACATTATGGCCAGTTAGGATTTGTTAAAATCCGGATGTAGGCGCAGGATTGGTAATGGCAGTTTGACTAAGATATGGACAATTCCCTGGCTACCAGATGCCCATAACCCATATGTTGAATCTGATCAGATTTTTAATAACCAGTCTTTACTAGTCTTGGATTTGATTAGTGCCCATACGGGGAGGTGGAATGGTGATCTTTTACACCAGTTGTTTAATCCACGGGATGTGATGTTAATATCTCAGCTACCTGTAAGTTTGGATTATGATGATATGTGGTATTGGGAAGGGGATTTAAGGGGATGTTACTCGGTCAAGAATGGCTATCAAAGGTTGAATTTTATAAATTCACAAGTCTCACCTGTTTGGAAAAATATCTGGAATTTACAGGTCCCCCCCAAGTGGAAGGTGTTTTTGTGGCGAGCTCTCTTGAATATTCTGCCCTCGCTTGATAACTTGATAAATAGGAGGGTGGATCTATTGAATATTTGTCCATCATGTGGTTTATATGAAGAATGTCTTTTGCATATATTTTGCTCGTGCCCCTTTGCTGTCACTGTTTGGCATATGTCTCAGATTCAAATCCCCTCTTTTGCCAACAGGAGTTTCTTGCAATGGTCAGAAGAGTGGCTCGGTGGTACGTCTGGGATTGGCGCAGATGTCCAAGGTCGTATTTGCGGAATTCTCCATGCAATTTGGACTGCGAGGAACTCGGCGGTGTGGGAAGGGTGTATGCCGACTCCGTGCTCCCTCCTTCGGCGCTTCTCGGCTGCGTGGACCACATGGACCGAGTGTGAGCAACGCCGACAGCAAGCCTGCAGCCGTAACAGTATCCTGCAACCAACACCCCCTACTGCAACGTCTCAGGTTCCCATGTCGTATCGATGCTATGGCGATGCCGGCTTCCACGGAACAAATCATTCAGCAGCATTTGGTTTTATTGTATTGGATGGCGACTCCTCCTTTGTGGCGGCGGCCAACGGCTCGTTGTCGTGTCAGTATGATCCTCCTTTAGCGGAAGCTATGGCGCTGTGCGAGGCCCTCTCTTGGTTGAAGGACAATGGGTATTCAGGTGGAAGACTTTACACGGATTCATCGGTTTTGGTCTCAGGATTAGAGTGTGCTTGTTCGTTTCGCAATTATTTTGGTTTCATTTTATTATCTTGCAATCGTTTAATTAATGCTATGCCTGGAACACTATTTTGTTTTGTGAATATGGAGGCCAATCATGTGGCTCATTCCTTATCTAAACATGTATCTGCAGTAGCAGGTCGTTATGTTTGGAGGGATTTTCCTCCTGCTTTTATTCAGCCCTTGGTGGCTAATATAATCTGATTCTTTTGGCTTTCAAAAAATACTCCCCAATCCCATTTTATCTGTCATGTTTATTATTTCGTCAAATCAACTCTTTCTTCTTTATTTATTTTCTTTAGTATTTTTTACTTATTTTTTAATTTAATTTTTTGTGTATAATAGTACTTTTAGTGTAGTTTCTAAATATATAAATTTTTTATAATAATATTAAACTTAATATTATGAAAAATTAGATTAAAAATAACTTCAGTCAAGTCTCGTTAACCGAACCAAACACATAAAATGTGACAGAGGGAGTATCAATTTAACTAAATTTAGTTCCTTAACTTTTTAAATATGTTGTTGGTTTTTGGGTTTTCGGGCCCAGGGAGGTCCAACACAACCTTGGTTGGTGGATTCACCTTTCACAAAGCTTTTTTAGCAAGGAAGAGTAGTCGAAATAATAGCTAAAGTGTGTGTTTCTTATTCACTAGGCCTGGCCTCCTCCATTACAAGGGCGGAGAGGCCCTTATATAGTAGGCTCCTCTCCGTCCGACTTGAAGGACATTAATCATTGTTTTTAAGGCTAATTACAATTACTAAGCCGTTGGGCGCCGTTACCGGACCGGCCAACGGCTCTATGGACTCATAACCGCCTGCCTGACCGAGTCCTGCTTTGAATGCCTCCAACGGCTCCTGGACCGTCTTAAAAGCTACGCTGGAACGCCTTTCAACGGCTCTCTGGGCCGAGTCTTCTTAAATGAGGCTCTTCAATGTTCCTTAACGGCTCAGGGTCTTGTCTCTATCCGTGCTCGGGCCTGGGCCGACTCCTGGACTCGGCCCAAGCTTTCCACTGGGCTTCTTTTGCTACTGGCCCATATCTTCTTTCTTGGACTCCTCTCTTTGGCCCATCTTCTTGGGTCGGGGTTCTCACCCCATCAACTAGTCCCTCACTTTCTCATACCCGGTCCACTAATCCGGGTTTGGGAAAGTAGTAACTGACCGTTCTCTCCATCACCGGATCTCTGTCTTTAAAGAGACCTCGTAACGTCCGGATCCTCTGCTATCTTCCCGGATTCAACGGAGCCGTTTGGATTCTCTCAACTCCGCATGGCTCCTATAAATAGCCTCTTGTTCTCTACGCATCATCTCACTGATCAGCCATGGGGCGCTCGCCTTTAAAGGGAAAGCGGATCGACTTCGGGTCTCCTCGACGCCCTCTACCTTCCAAGCGGACCCGGCCCGAGAGGGAGAACAAGAAGAAGGCTCCTCGACCGGCTTCTCAGAGGTTTCCCACCGGCGCTACTTCCTCTGTTCAACAGCCGCCGACCCCTACTCGTACGGAGAATGTTCCGACTTCACTCAATCCGCCGCCCCCGGCTATCGCTAGGGTAACTGCTCAGGATGGGTCCTTTGTGGAGGTGGCCGTCCCCGAACAGTTGACCTTTCATATGACCTTCTCCATTCCGCTTGATGACTTGGATGGACCGGCTACGGGCCTGATGAATGACGCCGACTTCGCTCGATATCTGGAGATGTATCCGGATGACGAGGAGCCGGTGGTGCCACCAATCATGCCGGCCTTCTGGGATACCTTCTGTCCATCTCCCACTAGACCATCGGGGGAGGCGTTCTTTGGGAGCGACTCTTCTTCTCCCGGCGAGTGACGGCCTCGGTCAAGATTTGTTTCCGTATTTTCGGGGGGGCTACATTAGAGCATTTCTTACTTATTTGTGATGTAATAAGCTCCTTATTTTGTGTGTTTCCCCTCTTTTATAAATAAAATTACACTCTTATCTTGGAGGGCTTTGTTTCTTAATTCTTTTTGGCACCCATCCTCCTCTTCCGGCCGACTGGTCCAGGAGTCGGCCACGTTGTCAGGCCCTTTTCAGTCTGATGCATGCAATATTCCCCGTATCTTTGGTGAATCTATCTTTTTCAGTTCAACGTGCGAATCTCACTCTTCTCGAGCAGATTTGATGGAACTACCCCCTGACAAAGATTCTTGTCTCCCGTCTAATTTGGCTTGATTACGGCAGTTATTATCAGCTTCGTGATTTTCGCCTAGGTATTCGCCCTTCTGAGGCTATATAAAGGCCTCTTATGCTGGTGATTCATACCACTTCTGTTCATAGACCTTTGATACTGGCCCATATCTTCTTTCTTGGACTCCTCTCTTGGGCCAATCTTCTTGGGTCGGGGTTCTTCACGGCTTGCTGATATTCCACCATCCGGGCGTGTGCGGCCTCCCTTCATTCCTCCAGGAAGTTCTTCTCAATTTTAAGGCTCTTCTCATTCTCCTCATCAGAATAGTTGCGGACTCGGTAGGTGGGTTCCACGACTTCTATCGGAACCTTGGCTTCAAAGCCGTATGCTAGGGAAAATGGGCTTTCTCCCGTCGCCCGTCTTTGCGTAGTTCGATAAGCCCATAGGACCCGGTCGAGCTCATCCGCCCAGTTTCCCTCGATGTCTTCCAACCTCTTCCGAATCCCGTCCACTATGGTCCGATTTACATTTTCGACTTGTCCGTTGGCCTGGGGGTACGCGACGGATACCTTGGTATGTCGTATACTATGCCGGCGACAGAAGTCGGCGAAGGCTTGGCAGTCAAACTGTCTGTCGTTATCGGTAACTACGTGCTCGGGCAGGCCGAAACGGCAAATCACCTTCTTCCACAGGAAGCGTCGACACTGGTACTCGGTGATGGTGGCTAGTGGCTCGGCCTCAACCCATTTAGTGAAGTAATCGATGGCCACCACGCAGAATTTCAGGCTTCCCGGGGCGTCTAGTAATGGTCCCAACAAGTCGATTCCCCACTTAGCAAAAGGGATGGCTGTGGTGACCGGCGTGTAGAAGGTGGCCGGCCGAGTATCCTTCCGGGCGAAGGCTTGGCAAATGCCGCACTTAGCTATCCACTCAATGCAATCTCGCATCATGGTCGGCCAGTAGTACCCCTGGACGACTAGTTTCCGGGCGGGAGTGTGGGCTCCCTGGTGGGCGGCGCAGATCCCTCGGTGAGCTTCATCCATTATCCTCTCGGCTTCGGGCCTGAGTAGGCACTTCAAGAGGGGGCCTCCGAATGACCGCTTGTACATTTGCCCGTCAATGATCTGGAATGAAGGGGCTTTTCGTCGAATCCTTGCGGTGACTCCTTGGTCATCTGGCAACTCGCCCGTTTCCTTAAACCGCCAGATGTCTTCTATCCAAAACATCTCGGGGTTTGTCTCTCGATCCCATTCCTCGATAATTACCTGTTGGACCTCCAACGGCGTCTCCTCTATACTTGGACGACTTAATTCTTCCTTTTGGCAAATCTTGGCGAGGTGATCTGGTATTCCCTCTAAGGCAATTTTTGATAATATGTCGACTTCGATGTTGTCCGCCCGGGAGATATGCTCTATTTCATATGTTCCGAATTCCTTCAGCATTTCTATCGCCTTCTCCTTATACTGGGTCATCCGGGCGTTCTTAGCTTCGTAGGTGCCGGAGATTTGTCCGGCCACTAACCGGGAGTCAGTTTTGATTCGCAATCGTTCTACTCCCAGCGTTTTGGCGAGTCGAAGGCCGCCCAACACAGCCTCATACTCAGCTTCGTTATTAGATGTCGGGAACAAATAGCTCAGGGCGTAGTAGAGTCGGAATCCCTCTGGAGTGATTAGCATGACTCCGCCTCCACAGTGTTGTCGACTTGCCGCTCCATCCGCGTGCATCTCCCACCACTCGCCTGAACTATCTTCCGTGGTGCGCTCTTTCTCTTCTTCCCCTGCCGTACACTCGACCAAGAAATTGGCCAAGGCTTGCCCTTTTATGGACGGTCGCGGTTGATACTCGATCCCGTACTGGGTTAATTTCACCACCCATTTCACCAGTCGACCTGACAACGCGGGGTTCCGCAGTACGCTCCCTAGCGGTTGGTCGGTCAGTACCCAGACGGTATTTGCTTGGAAATAGGGCGCTAACTTGCGCATGGTGATCACTAGCGCGTAGACAATTTTTTCCAAGGCCGTGTACCGTGTCTCGGCGGCCTTTAAGGAGCGGCTTACGTAGTACACCGGGTGCTGGGTACGCTCTTCTTCCCGGACTAGTACCGAGCTTACCGCCTTGGGGGAGGCGGCCAAGTACAAAAACAAAGGCTCACCCACCCGTGGGGTGGACAACACCAGAGGTGTGGAAAGATATTGTTTCAGCTCTTCGAACGACTGTTGGCACTCGGTCGTCCAGGCAAAACCTTCCTTCTTCTTCATAGCCTCGAAGAATGGTATAGTTTTATCCGCCGCCTTGCTCAGGAAGCGACTGAGGGCAGCCAGTCGACCAGTCAACCGTTGCAAGTCCTTGACGGTGCTGGGAGGCTGCATGTTGATGATGGCCTGGACCTTCTCAGGGTTGGGCTCGATGCCTCGTTTGGTCACCATGTATCCTAAGAATTTTCCGCCTTGCACCGCGAAGGCACATTTCTTCGGGTTTAGTCGGAGATTATACCTTAGCATCACTTAGAAGCAGTCGGCCAAATCTTCCGCGTCCTTGGCCTCTTCTCGGCTTTTGACTAACATGTCGTCTACGTAGGCCGCCATGGACTTCCCCAACAGGTCTTGGAATAGCCGGGCTACCATCCGAGTATAAGTAGCCCCAGCATTCTTGAGTCCGAAGGGCATAACTCGGTAACAATATACCCCGTCTGGTGTAAGGAACGCGGTTTTCTCCTCGTCGGCCGGGTGCATGAAAATCTTATGATACTCCCTAAAGGCGTCCATGAAGCTCAGCAGAGCCGACCCTGCTGTCTCGTCGACCAGCTGATCGATCCGCGGCAAGGGGAACGGATCCTTTGGGCAGGCTTTGTTAAGATCAGTATAATCCACGCACATTCGCCAGGCTGGGGGTTTTGGTACGAGGACTACGTTTGCCAACCACTCCGGGTATTTAAGCTCTCGGATGTGGCCCGCGGCTAGCAGCGTGCTCACCTCTTTCTTTACGAATTCCCTTCGGTCGTTGGCGAGATACCGTTTTTTATGTACGACCGGTCGATGGTCCGGATCCACGGCGAGTCGATGGGCGATGATGGACCGGTCGACGCATGGCATATCCTCTGGCCCCCAGGCAAAGACTAGCCGGTGCTCTCGGAGTATTTTGATAATTTCCTCTCGAATCTCCTCCAGGAGACCGACCCCAATTCTGACCCGCCTGTCCGGCCGTCCAGGGTCGATCTCGACCTCTTCCAATTCCACGGCCGGCTCTGGGCGGGGTATCATTGCTTTCTTTGGGGGCTTTTCCGTGATTTCGTGGACTTACATTTCACGCTTGCCCATCCCCCTGCAGGCCTGTAGATAGCAGTCGCGGGCGACTCTTCTGTCGCAACGTACCGTGCCTATCCCGCTCGGTGTGCGGAATTTCAGACAGAGGTGCTCGATGGAGATCAGTGCTCCTAGATCCTCCAGGCCCGGTCGGCCGAGTATAGCATTGTGTGAGCAGACTAAGTCTACCACGATGAATTTCATGCTGAGCTTCTGCACGTCGGGATATCTGCCGACTTCCACCGGTAAGGTAATGGATCCCTCTACCTCCACCGAGTCTCCGGTGAAACCGGCGAATGGTGTCTTGACTGGATTCAGCTGTTCTCAGGTTAATCCCATTTTTGTGAAAGTATCGAGGTATAGTACGTTGACACTGCTCCCGGTGTCGACCAGAATTCGTCGAACGACTACCCCATTTACGTCCATCGCTATGACCAGGGCATCTCGATGTGGTGTCTCCCCCGTGGGTAGGTCTTTGTCAGTGAACATGATGGGCTCCCGGCACACTTTCTTCGAACCTTCTTCGCGCCCGTATACTGTACCGCATACAGCTGTCGAGCCCAAGCCTTCTTGGTGTTCGCCGAGTCGCCCCCCTCTGGCCCGCCGACTATCATGTTAATAACCGGCTTCTGACGCCAATTAGCCTCATCTTCCTCAGTCGCGGGCTGCTTTCCGCGGCTGCTCTCGGCGGCGACTGCAGGGTCACTGTCCTCCCGTGCCGCCGACCTCCGCCTCCACTGTTTAGGAGGCAGGGTCCCTTGTTGGATGATTCCTTCCATGATCTTTTTCAAGTAGAAGCATTCTTCCGTACTGTGAGTGTAAGATTTGTGATAGCGGCAGTACTTAGAGTTCTTACTTGTCTCTTCGTTAGTCACGCGGTCGTCAGTCGGCGGGGGCAGAGGTGGAGCGACCGCTTGTACCTCGTGTACCGGGTGTTGAGGAACCGTCCTGTAGGGATGGACAATAGGCTTCTCATAGGGACGCCTAGCCTCGGGTCACCGAGCCCCTTCCGGACGCCTTTCCTTGATTTCCGCACGAGTCCTTTTTCCGCCGACGGATCCTCCGACTTCACGTTGCCGTTTATGCTTCATGGCCTGCTCCGTGTTAGCCCTCTTATTAGCCATGTGTATGGCTTCCGCGTAGGTGGCCGGGCGGTTATCCCGCAGATCTCGGTATAATTGCCCGGATGGCAAGGACTCGATGAAGAAAGTGAGTGCGGTCTGGTCTTCGACCTCCTCGATAGACTGGATCTCTTTTTGCCATCGAACCAAGTAGGTTTTCAGGGACTCACCTTCCTCTCGGTGGACGTCCCCCAGGTGAGTCAAATCCTTTTGTGGCTTGATGTTGGCCGCATAATGGCTCATGAAGCGATCGGCCAGCTCCTCAAAGTTGTGAATCGATCCCGGAGGCAGCGCCACTAACCACCTTTGTGCCGAGACTTTCAACGTGGGCAAGAAGGCACGACACATTACCGGTTCTCGGACTCCTAAGACTTGCATCTTGGCCTGATAACTGAGTAGATGCTCACGTGGGTCTCCGGATCCGTCAAAGGTGGCCTGTTCCGGAAATTTGAAGTCGCCGGGCACTTTATAAGACATGATCTCAGAGGAGAATGGCAAAGCAGTGAGCAACGTTTGCCGGGGGGATTTAGTCCTTCCCCCCATTTGCTCCTTCAGATCTCGTACCTCTCGGGCCAATTGGGCTACATCGCCTCTATAGTGAGTATGATTTCCTGTGGATTCGGTACTCTCGCCGACCTCCGATTCAGCTGGTCGGTCATCGTTGCGCGTGAGGCGCTCGGTCCGTCGTGCAATAGTCCTGGTTCTCCTGGTGCGAGTTCTTTCGCGACCGGCTTCTTGATCTCGGGGGCCTGCTGGTGCGCGGCTGGGCTCCCTCTCCCCTAGTCGTTCTCGTGCAGATTGTCGTCCAGCGTTTGGACCCAGCCTGGAGTGAACCGATCGTACTGGCTGACTCTCGGCCCGTCGGTTCTCTCGTCTGTCTTCCGGCCTCTAGGAAGGTTGCTGATGGCGAGGCATCGGTCGAGAGACCGACTGCTCCCTCACCCCTTGACTTGCGTCGGCGAAGGCTCGTCCGATCGCATGGAGTTGCTCCGGGGTGAGGGGTATCATGGGTGGCTGCCGGTTCACCTGTGCCGTTTCGTTTTCCTGACTTTGAGCGTTTCGTTGGTTCAACTGATCTCTCAGATCTGCTTCCACTCCATTATCGCGGTTATTCGCTTGGTCTCGTCCTTCTGACATGCTTGTGACGCTTTTCTGGTCGACTTCGGGACTCGCCTCACTCAGAGAGTCACGTAGCTCTTTGTATCGATCCCCACGGACGGCGCTAGTGTTGGTTTTTGGGTTTTCGGGCCCAGGGAGGTCCAACACAACCTTGGTTGGTGGATTCACCTTTCACAAGGCTTTTTTAGCAAAGGAAGAGTAGTCGAAATAATAGCTAAAGTGTGTGTTTCTTATTCACTGGGCCTGGCCTCCTCCATTACAAGGGCGGAGAGGCCCTTATATAGTAGGCTCCTCTCCGTCCGACTTGAAGGACATTAATCATTGTTTTTAAGGCTAATTACAATTACTAAGCCATTGGGCGCCGTTACCGGACCGGCCAACGGCTCTAAGGACTCATAACCGCCTGCCTGACCGAGTCCTGCTTTGAATGCCTCCAACGGCTCCTGGACCGTCTTAAAAGCTACGCTGGAACGCCTTTCAACGGCTCTCTGGGCCGAGTCTTCTTAAATGAGGCTCTTCAATGTTCCTTAACGGCTCAGGGTCGAGTCTCTATCCGTGCACGGGCCTGGGCCGACTCCTGGACTCGGCCCAAGCTTTCCATTGGGCTTCTTTTACTACTGGCCCATATCTTCTTTCTTGGACTCCTCTCTTGGGCCCATCTTCTTGGGCCGGGGTTCTCACCCCATCATATGTTACATTCCAACTGAACAGGGGCGGATCCAAAAATTCATCTGAGGGATGTGAAGTTTAAATGATGTTATAAATGTCAATGACAAAATATCAAACCCCCATAATAAGGTTAAAATACAAAATAAATTATATTACAATTGAATGTTTTTGATAGACTACATGATACTTAGGGGCAGAGCCAAAAATATACTTGAGTAGAGAGAAAATGTGAGATTTTAAAACACTTTGAAATGATATAAAAATATTTATGACAAACTATGAAACATAAATTAGATAAAATAATTTGAATAGAAAAGATATTATATTTATAAATACATTTACCAAGACTATGTGGTCTAATGGTACCTGGGTTAGACTTTCATTTGGAAGGTTGTGAGTTCGAGCTTCTGTGGAGGCATTATTGGTTCTTTCTGTTTCAGTAGGTTGAGAAAGTATATGAACAGATACTACATTGTAATAGAGCTAGTAACATTCAAAAAAATATTTATAAATACATTTTAATTTTAATTTCTTTTAGTTAGATCAATTTTAATTTTTTTAAAAAAAAATTAATTCGAATACGGTGAAGTATAATATAAACTTGTATACTACATTAATTAAATGATTCATAAAAATTAGACTAAAATAACATTTTATTTGTTAATTAAATGATTCATAAAAAGTAGACTAAAAAAACATTTAGGGTGTGTTTGGTTCGGACATAGGAATCGGAATCGGAATGGGTATCAAATACTTGGTAATGGTAATGGGTTTTGGTGAAAATATTTAACATGTTTGGTAGTAGGGTGGAATGAGAATAGTTACTAATAGTAGTGCTTGAGAATGAATAAGAGAATGAAACCCTTATTGTATTTGGGTATGAGTTTTTCAATTGATGGGGTATTCGAAACACATAGTAGTATTCTAAAAACCTATCAACCAAACAACAACAATCACTTTCTTACCCATTCCTATGGGCAAAACCCACCAACCAAACACACCCTTAATTTGTCTTGTGGTGAAGAGATGAAAGGGGTAAAATAAAAGAGAAAAAGCTAAAAGCAAGTGCTGCTAATGAGGTTCGAACATGTGACATAAGCTATATTTAACATCATGTTTAAAATTTTATCCAACAAAGCCATTCAAACATTTCATAATTTGTACATAAATATTTGTTTTATACTGTATCTAAATGCTAGAACTAATCTCACTTTC